TTTACCTTCAAGCTTTGCGTGTGCCCATGAAACAGCCTGTGAGCGCCTGCACACGCACATATTATGAACATTTCACATATTGTTCACAATATTGATCATCCACAGAGTTTGTAATTTAGTCAAATGTTTACAAACACAAGCGCAGCCGTTTAAAGCTCATTTGTGGTGAATGATGTCAGAATTTACCGGTATTTTGGAATGGATGTGTGAATGCTCTTTTCCGGAAAATTTCCGTAACGTCCTCACCTGTGTGAACAGCGCTTTTTTAAATATACCGGTAAAGTCGTTCCGGAAATTTTTCAGATATTTACCGGTATCACTGTGTGAAAGGGGCTTTAGGGCCTACTCACACTATGCCATCCGTACCGTGCCCAGGCCCGTTTCCCGGATCGTTTGAGAAGTGTGAGTGCGCTGAATCGGGCTCAAGCACGGTTCACTTGGCCGGCCCTGGCCCGGTTGGAAGAGGTGTGCCTGAGCGCGGTACACTTGGGCTTTGGCGCGGTACGCTTGTGTGTGAGCGCGAAACGCGCCAAAGCCCGAAACCGAAAGCGAGACATGACTTTTAAGGGACTTTTTGATATGGATTTATTAATCATTCTTACTGTTCAGTGATCGCAAACTGCCGTAGTTTATTAAAGACGAGAACTCCTCACAGCACGCCAGCTGCGCGCCTTCAGCAGATCTCCTCATTCCTGCAGCACGAGAGCATTATGATTGTTTATGAGCGCCAAAAGTGGCGGATCTGTTCAGTAAAATATCTGACTGTGTGTCCCCGCATCCCTAAGGACTGTTTGGCGAAATATTTGACTGCATGTCACTGCATAACAAACGACTGAAAGGATATAACTAGAGAAATCTTCACTGTGCTGCTAAATGAGAGCGTATGGCAAGCCGTTTTAACATTTAAACCTTGTTCTGACTATCCATAAATATATTTAGAGATATAATTATGTATTTTGACAAGTCATTATTATAATTCGACTTGTCAGAATGACAATTAGAGATATCTGCAATTACAATTGTACTAGTACGAAATCAGATTGGAGATATCTGCAAATATATTATGACTAGTCATATTCCTCCATTGACTTCCATTGAAAAATATTTGCAGATATCTCTAAATGAGTTTTGACTCGTCAAAAATCCAATTCAAGATTTCTACAACTGTAATTCGACTATTAGTAAATTAATTAGAGATATCTTCAAATATATTTGTAAATATCTCTAAATATTACGAATTAAAGACATCTCCAAATGTATGACTAGTAAAAACTCAGTTAGAGATATCTCTAATTACAATTGTGCCGAGTCAAAACTCATTTAGATATCTGCAAATATTTTTCAATGGAAGTCAATGGAGGAATATGACTAGTCATAATATATTTGCAGATATCTCCAATCTGATTTCGTACTAGTACATTTGCAATTGTAGATATCTCTAATTGTTATTCTGACTAGTCAAATTATAATTATGACTAGTCAAAATATAATTAGAGATATCTCTAAATATATTTATGGAGTCAGAACAAAGATTTAAATGCTAAAAAGGCTTGCCATAGAGAGCGCTTCTGAACAGCGCAGCAGCGATGACGTAAGCGTGCCGTGGCCCGGTATGGTGTGAGCGCGGGCCGTCGGGGGAGACGGGAGGGGGGACAAGCGTGCTTTGGCCCGGTTCGAGGCAACTGTACCTAGTGTGAGTACGGCCTAAGTCTCAATTCTCTGTTACTAACTCTAATATGCCATTTTACAATAAGAAACTTTATACACTAGAGCAGTTTATGAACAAAACTTGACAAAAGTCTTGTAACAGCATGTTTTCCAAATTTTCATTCATTTTGACCTAAAGCTTTTTAGAATGCAGCTTAAAATGGAGTAGTACCCTACAAGACTACGTGATTTGATCTTTGAATAGCCTGGTAAATTCACCACGTTTTTTCGACAGGCTTATAAATGGGGAAATATTTCTTATTTTTCCCTTCCAAAGTGTAACTAAAAGATATGTGTGAATCAGAAAAAAACAAAAAAAAAAACTTTAATATTTGCATGTTCCCATATGTCTTTGCTTTGTGTAGATTTTTAACTTAGTACTTTAAGTGGCAGCTAGTCATAAAATGTAATTTTAATGCCCATCAGGGTACATTCAGTTTTTAAATATTAGCACGTTCCCAATAAAAAAAATGACTTAGGTTAATGGAAGCTAAATAAAAGAGGAAAAAAGTAAGATATCTGGATAAAAAAAAGCACTAGAGTGATGAACACATTGATTCCCTTTTGTTGTGTAGCACTTCAACCGGGATTGAAAGCTGTGCCAGGGATGCCTTAGGATGACACATTCTCCATTGCCTTAATTTTTTTTTTTACATTAAAATATTTGTTTACAGAAGATGCAAGAAATGCAGTTTAAAATACATGAAAAATAAAAATACATAAATATTTTATTTAGAAGAGAACAGCTAATTAAATAATTCCCTTTTGTTGTGTTGCACTTCAAAGGCCAGTCCTTTCTTACAGAAAGTTAATCTGATGAGGGAACAAAATACCAGTGCCAGCTGAACAGAACAATGCAGCACAGAAATAAATAAATAAAAAAAATAAAAAAAACATCGCAAATACCCAATTTAATGCCTTTCGTTTCCACCTACCAACGCAGGTCTCGTGTGAGTAACCTACTTCCGAGAAAACGTGTCAGGTGTTTAACTTACCTGTTGAGAAGGAACTTTGCAAGCTTGCCTTTTCCACTGAAACCTAAAAGATTCCATCAAACTCCACAATTCCGTAAAACCAGTTAACAGTTTCTGTATAGTTTAATAGGCCTATATCAGTCTCCACATTTTGGCTTGCACTAAACCAGGCTGCACCAATTAAAACATCGGCAACCGTAGCCACGCCTCATTCTCTTTGCTATTGGCTGCATTAAGGTTTTTAAATACAGATTGACAGCCAGATAGGACATCCCAGTGACTAAAAAAAGTATAATTTCATTACGTTTGATGGCACATATACACGAAATGCACTGCTTTTATTTATTATTGATATGTGAAGACACTTTTTCAGTATTACAATGCATCTAATGTATATGCCTACACTATAGCTTTAATAAAATTTAAAATGCAAAAGGCGAAAAACTTTTTGACATATACTTCAAATCCATGCAATTTACTGACTACTTAAAGTAGTTCTATAGAAAGACTTCTTGAGGTGGATAAATCACGGAAATGATACAATATGTGCTGTAGCTTTATTGCCGCTTCATATTATTTAAGGTGATGAAATTTCTCTTACAGTGCAGAAGAGAATTTTAGACCACTCCTTTTTTTTTATTTGCTAACAAGGAATCTGTGCAACGTCAACCGATAATGAAATATGATTGAAAATATTTTACTTGCATAAGAAATCCTCAAAAATGTGACTCTTGTCTATTTTCCTGTGAAACTTCACTCAAAGGTAAATGTGATTTCAGCTTTATGATAGTAGCCCAATTTATGAAGTTGAAAAAAAAAAAAAAAAAAACTAGGGATGAGCTAATCAAATCACATGACATGATAAAGTCACATCACATGACCCCGCTCATGTACAAGACATGTTGTAAAAATGAATCTGCTAAACTGAAAAATGTTTAGCATTTTGCAGCCACATCTGATCTCTGATTAATTAGGACAATGGACCCATGAGCCATACTCTGCACTACATGCCTTGAGATGGCACATTTTCAATTACATTAAAATAATTTTTTACAATAAAATATTTGTTTACAGAAGATGCAAAAAATGCAGTTTAAAATATTATTTACATGATATATAAGAGTTATTTTATTTAGAAGAAAACAGCTTATTTTCCACTTTTAATATGAAAAACATTGAAATGATAACTGTCAAATACGCAAACTTGATCTAATCCTGCCAGTTGAAAGTAAGTTTGTGATCTTGACCGGACATTGACCAAACCACATCAGTTTGCACCACCTTCTGGGTAAAATTGACAATTAAATTCTATCAATTGAAATCATACAGAATTTATCAAATGACTTTTGAACAGTTTTGTCTATTTTCATAAGACTGGTCTTGTTAGATTCCTTGGATCATACAGAGAACATTGATATAATTTAATGTTGATTTAGTTTGAAAATCTGTTGTTTTAAACTCTCCATAGATTGTTAGCCCAATTTCCACCAGATTGGGTTCAGACCATGCTGCCAAAAAGGAATAGAATTTTCCAGTTGCTCTGTAGCTTCTTGCCATGCTTGTTTATGATGTGGCCACTAGGCTGCTTGGCCCCGATAATTGCTGCTTGCAGCTATATATATTATCAAGTTTTCAAAAGTGCAAATTATTTACTTGCACTATTTTATAAGAAAAAAGTGACTGTTAGCTTTAGGAAATGTTTGAAAATAGCATTTGATTGACAAAATAATAAATAAAATATATTTTAAATGCTTACCTTTGGCTTTGCACGTGTCTGCCAGGTGACCATACAAAAGAAGCTTTATAGTTTGACTTGAAGTAGCGGTCACTCAGTGCAGACCATTGTAGGTTCTGTAAAGCCATGTGGCCTTTTTTCCCCAAATAATTTTTATGGCCTACTTAACACTTAATCATATTATTACTCCAGTAAGCTTGTAGCAAGAATGACAAGTATCGTATGTTTATTGCTGTAACATACATTTTAGCAGAATTAATGGCACACATTGTAATTAAATCACTCATTGGCAACATATTGACCCTATTTTAAGTCCTATAAAAATGTTCAATAAATAATCATGGATAGCATGTTTCCTTCTAATATTTTAAAATTAAGCAATGCAACCATTCAAAAATCTCTCACTAGTAATATGTGAGCATATTTACTGTCCAAAACTTGTCAGTGAACAATGAGGGCAAAAAAGTCAAAATAAATCGCTCATTAATCGTAATAGAGTTAAAATTTTAAATTAATCGAGATTTTGATTTTAGGCCAACTGAATCCAGCCCTAAATAGAACCAGTAATACAGACAAGTAGTGACTAAAGAACACAAAAAGCTTTATTACTTATACAACAGAATTGGCAGACACATACAATGTATATCTATATAAATACAGTGTGTACCTGGTAAGCACATTGAGTGTGAATGGGCTTATCAAAATTTTACAGGCTTAGGCCAGGCATTCTTACGTGTACTTTTCTCTAGCCAACCAAAGGCCACAAAAGCTGGTCGCTGAATGTACACTCATCTACAACGCTCAAATCTAGTCCTCTACAATTCTTCCTTCACTTTATCAAAAATACCCTCTCCAATTAGCCAACCCTGGGGACAAAAGTGCAAGCCAATCTGATCTTGCAGCACTTGTGAAAACAAAGCGATTAATTTAGTGAAATTACTGGCCAAACTCAAAATGGGGTAAGAAAAAGAGTCACAAAAACTAAAGAAAAGCAAAAAAATAATAATATGTACGACACTGTAAGAAACTCCACAATGGCTGAGAGATTAGTTCTGTGTGACCACGTCAGTCCTTCTACTGTGCAGCCAACTTCCTTATGTTGATGATCAGCCGTTTGCTGTATTCTCGGTGGTCCACAGGCTTGGCGTCCACCACTGTCACTTTAATGCGCGATTCATCCTGTGAAGACAAAACAAAAGGGATTACAATTCACGTCTCTCCAAGTTTTCCAACTCATCCAAAAAGCACTTATAAAGGTCTCCTAAGGGAGCAAATGACTGAGATTGTTTGAAAATGGAGTGTTGCTGTTTTTACACACAAACAGGTTACAAGAATTTTCAGTTGAAGAAAATGGAAAGGCGATGATATAGGAAGCAAAGAAATGAGAAAAAAGGAAATAACCTGTAAATAGACTACACTCACAATCTCAGAAAAATGATTAGCATCTTCTAACGACCCCTGTGAAAACTCCTAACGCTATTAGTTTAACCTAAAAATCTATTTAGCCACAACTGCAGCCATTATAGGTCTTTAAAAGTAATGCTGCCTCAGAGAAAGAGAGGGAAGATGAAATGTAAATCTGCCATACATTAATAGACTTTATTAAAATCATTCTCCAAGTCCCAAAGGACACAAAAACAATCAAATCAAGTGAAACTGCATAAGCAGCACTTATAAGAATTCATGTTCTAGCACTGCAGAACAAGGTTCACAACAATCATAATTGCTTCACGCAGATGATAGATGGGGACCAAAACTATTTCACAATCTAAAAGTAATTGTATTTTTCGATTTGAGCACTGGACTGATCATAAACTGAAATGTTTTATGAAAACACTTCTGCTTTGTCTCTTTTCTATCACACATTTAAAGGCCTCCACAAAATTAAAAAGTGTCAACAGACAACAATCAGCATGCTGAGCTCTAATGAGAACGATGAACATCAAACTAATAGCAAATTAGTGCATGCCTTTTTAATTCACATGAAACTAGACCGTTTGTTTCAATGTACTTGCATCTTGCTAACAACATGAGTATAATTACGCTGGAAAACATATTTTAAAGTGGAACCAAAAGCTTCAGTCTGGATTAATGCAGAAAGAGTGCATGTGGGTTCACTGGTTTTATTTAGTAATTGCATGAAGTGTGTTATGAGCACAGAAAAGTTTCGCACACCCACAGGATACCCAACATGCATGAACATAAATTTGTTCTGACGTTTGGTTTATTCTTAAAAACAAGGCTAATTTTCATAGCAAATGTTTCAGTAATGTCTCAATTATATACACATTTACTATATAGTGTTCCTTTTTTTAAAAATTGAAGATAACACCCTTATATCCCAAACTCCACCACACAACAGAGGAGTGAATTTTTAAAAATTGTTGTGTGAAATATCAATAACTTTCAAAACTTTAGACTGAGACTGTAAGGGGGTACAAGATTAGGTAGTTCTCGAGAGCTCCCCCTGGAAAAGGAGGAAAGGTGGAGTTAGGATGGATGGGGGGATTCTTTAAAAACGAAGATATGGGAGTAATGTTAGTCGGTCTATTTATAGTGAGTTTAGAATGATCCGATTGGTTTACTAATTATTACAGATGAGAGACCAGCTGTGATCAATCATCTCATGTGCTCCTCTTGAAACAAGTTTGTGAAAGTTCACTTAGTTTCAACTGTTGATTTGAACGGCTCTACTTGAAAAGATTTTAAAAATTTAGATTGATTGGGATGATCAAGTCTTTTTCTATGCAGTGCATCTGTATAAAACATAATAAATTACAAGCACACTGTATATAAATACGGTCAGGAAAGTCTAACAGTATAAGTACAGAAATTGAACAATCAACCGTAAAACAACATGGTCAAGATCATTATATATTTTCTTTTAGTAATATTAAAAATATATTTTTCTTTAATCAACAATCTAATCCTGCGATGCGACTATTGCAGATACAAACATTGCAATAACTACATATTGTTCAGCCTTATTTTTCAACTCGCATCACATCCATCTCATATTAACTGAGGGTCTGAAGTACCTGTCATATTTGATCAGGACAAATATTAAGACAGAAATTATATTTGATAATAATTTTCCATACAATATTAATAGATATGCCGATTAGATGTGAATTATAAACATATTCTATCCTTAATGAAAATACAAACAAGTATTGATGAAATCTGCATTTTATACATCTACAGAACAAGTAAGTGTCATACTCAGTTCCTGGAAGGCCGCAGCTCTGCACGGTTTAGTTCCAACTCTAATTAAACACACCTGATCAAATTAATTGAGTGCTTTAGTTTGGTTTTCATACCTACAGGTGTGTTTAAGCTGGCCTGGAACTAAACTCTGCAGGACTACAACCCTCCAGGAATTGAGTTTGACACCCCTGATTTACAGCCAGAACCAGAAGTTCATATAAGGATTTCCTTTAGAGCCATGTCTTATTACACATATAAGACTCACTGTGGATTTCTATGAGAGGGTACTCTCTGGTGTGGGGTATGAATTAAATAGATAGGGTATATGCACAGCTAGTGTTGAATCTTCCCATTCTAATAAACTTGTGGTGAACGGTTAATGTGACTTTTTTTCCATTTTATACGGTTCCTTTTACAGCATCGATGTTAATGTAATTAAAATATAATCAGTTAAATAGACTTTGGCATTCATTTAGTTGCTCAGGCGTAAAATGACATGCATGTTTAAGATTAGTCAAGATTAGCAGGCTAGGACAGCAGCTCCATTTAATATACTGGGGGTAAAATAAATGTTCATATTTTAAAGACATGGCAGAAAAAAATGTAATGCAGTGCTTCTTGTACAATCTGAGACCCACTTTATATTGGAAATCACTCAGCCAGTGGAGAATGTTGATTTATAAAGAAAGCGCTAGATCCAGATTACTGACATATCAAATGTCCATCCACATACACCGTATTGATATTCACAGTTTAACAATCCAGTATGACACTTGATTTAAATGTGTAATGTGCCGGGGTGCACATATCCAGTAAACAGGTGTGTAAAAATATTGACCAGATAAGCACCAGAGAAGCGTTTGTGTATGTTGTTGTTGGCATTTTGGAATCTCCTTAGCCTACTTAAGTTACTTGCAATAATTTGCCAAAGCATAATTGGTAAGATTATTACAAAAACATTGAAATGTGTGTTGTTAGAAGTGTAAAATAATCCGTTTGTTTTTGCCATTTATATTTTTTGTCTTCCAAATAGCAATTACAGTAGGTTTTGAATTTAGATTGCAGTATCTCAGATGTAATTCAACTAGATGTGAATCAAATGGCATGGGACACAGTAAAAAGCCCTGAGCAACTATACCATGCTAGTGTCTGGGAGAAAGAATGTAAAATAAAGTTGGTCTTTATAATGTGTATGGACGGAGTTGCAGTCAACGTTGGAGTTTAAAATAGTGTGGTTACCATATTACTTCAGATGGGGGCAGTTGAGATCAGTCAAACTTGGGTGTGAGCCAGACAATCAAACCAAATGTGAAAGCACCTCGAATCACCCAATTGTGCATGCAAATCACATATTTAAAATACAAGCTCATGTTTAGTTTTCAAAGACATAAAAATGTCTTATGAAAATATATGCATATGCAACCTATAACTCAAGAAACATTTGAACAAGTATTATTGGTTGTGTTGTGTAAGAACAGAGCAACATCTACAAGTACTAAAGTACTTCAAGAACAGGCTCAAAAAAAGTTGTGCACCCCTGGTAATCTGTCATTTTCCCTTCTAAATATCATGGTCTTCTTGACCAAAACCCGATTATCGCAACCGCCCTAATAATGGCCATGACAATAAATGTCGCTTTTTTTATAACAATTATTGTCAAAATAATCTTCACACTATATTTCAGCAGTGTATTGCAACGCTCATATTTCCAACAATTTTACAGGTTTAAAAAAAACAAAAAAACAATTATGTGATTATTTTCCCTGGTCAGGTTAATAACACTGAGGAGGGTTTAACTCTAGCTCTTGTATGCCTTTATCAGGAGAAACTGCAAATTCCAATAAGATCCTCATTTTCCTTCACCTAAGCTAAAGGTGACCTTCACAAATGCTGACTGTAGCCTTGTATTTTGATTTCATTACCTGAACATGCAATTTAACGATCTCCACCAATGTGATGGCTGGGAATTTGGATACTGATACAGCATTTCAGATGCATACTAATTTCCCTGAAGAATAATAAATTGCATTACGCAGAGACTGACTGCAGCACTGATATGAGCCAAACACGATTACAGAAATAAGATAGACAATTTAAGGCTATAAATTTGTGAAGCTAATATCAGATGAAGCTAAACTTGAGTTGACTTGAATTTTGAGAAACAACATATGAATCTCAACTCTGATAATCAGAAGAAAAAAAGGTGATGAATGAGGAAAATAGTCCACAGGGTATTAAGATGCTCAGGTCTTATGCACTGGGTTTGAGAGCAGGTGTGTTGGAGAAAGGCAAAAAGACTAAGTGATGTTCTGAACATCAAGATGCTAAACAATACAAACATATTCACTATTCACAGCTAATCGGTCAATTCATATTTATTTCTATAGCGCTTTTACAATGTCAGAGCAGCTTAACATTGAAGTTCTAGTCAATTGAAACTGTGTTAGTCCAGTTTGCAGAGTTGAAGTGCAGTTTAGTTCAGTTCAGTTCAGTGTGGTTTAAGTTTCACTGCTGAAAGTCCAAACACTGAAGAGCAAGTCCATCGATGCGAAGGAATGCGCAGAATGAAGAAATCGAGACAGTACCGGACTTCATATTCCAAGATTATCCGAAATAGGGACATTACACCTGAAATCAAGAGACGGTTATCCCTTGGATGGAATGTAATGGTGAGCATGAATGCCATCTAGAAAAGGATATCAGCACTGCAAATAAAGCAAAGCTAGTCACCGCGACCGTTTTTCCTATAGCAACCTATGGCTGCGAGACCTGGACAATCAAGAAAACAAACAAAAGAAAGATCGATGCCTTCGAGTTGCGATGCAGGAGGAGACTGTTGTGCATCCCGTGAACAGCGATAATCACCAACAAAGAAGTCCTAAGGTGCATCAAGCCAAAGACCTCGCTGGAAGCCAACATTACCAAACAGAAATTATCCTTATGTCATGCGTAGCAATTCATTCGAGAAGGAAGTCATGCTGGAAATGGTCAGTGGAAATAAGATGAAAAGCCGCCCAAGAACTCGTTGGATTGATACTGTCAAATGTAATACCAACATGAACATGCAGGAACTCAAAGAAGCGGTGATAAATAGAACTGTGTAGAGGGGAATGATCCATAGAATGACCAAAAATTGACCTTAATCGAACGGATAATTGATTGTTTGGACTTACAGCAGTGAAAGTTAAATCAATGCGGTTGTAACATGGCTCTCTTGTAGCATGTCATATGGAAAACGAACAAGACAGTGAGGTTTTCATCAATGGCAATGTGGTGGATGGGATGGCGGAAATGCTGTCTATTTCCAAAAGTCATAATGTCAAAAAGACTTTTTACCCCCACCTTTTCTTTGTCATTTTAACAAACTATATTTGGGCTTGAAACTTTTTTTTTTTCAATGAATTAAGATACATAAATTTTACATTTATTTGATGGTAAATACAGTACAAATATTTTCTAAAACGTAGTATTGTGAAATGTAACAATCTAAACGTACCCATTTTCTTTTCTAATAAATTTAAAACATAATTATTCCCTCTGTATTCACTGTAATCATGGTTCTGACTCGTTGTCCAAAGCCAAATATAACCACATTTCAGGTGCATTTTCAAAATTCTCCACTACTTTACAAGTATGGAAAATTAGATTGTATTTACAGCCATCTCACCCTGCAGTCCAACACCGGTTACTCACTGAAGCTAAGCAGCGCTGAGCCTGGTCAGTACCTAGATGGGAAAAACTAGGTTGCTGTTGTAAGTGGTGTCGGTAAGATCAGCGAGGGCACTAAGCCTGCCATTTGTGCGAGTCCTAAAGCCCCAGTAAAGCGAAGGGGACACTATACTGTCAGTGAGAGCCTTCTTTCGCATGAGACATTAATCGGAGGTCCTGAATTTCTGTGGTCATTAAAAACTCCATGGCACTTCTTGTAAAGAGTAGGGGTGTAACCCCGGTTTCCTGGCTAAATTCTCATCCATCGGCCCCTACCCAGCATGGTCCCCCCAATCACCCTGTATATATAAACACTATATATAAACACATATTACTTAAAGTATGTAAATAAAGTAAACCTCTATGTCATCTTTCATCTTAAAAGTTTATTTACTTTAATTTCATGCATTATTCACTTAAGAAGTGGTAATCCCCATGCACTTTTTATTTTATGCAAGATTTATTTTACTTAAATAGTTTATTATTATTAGTACGTACTTAAAAAAAGACCACAAAAACAGCACAATTAAATTAAGTAGTTTCAAGCACTTTATCCAAAATCTAAGGACTTATCAAACCTTGAAAACACTAAATTAAAATTCAAGCATTTCCAAGGATATCTGTACAAACCCTTTGTAATACATTTATTTGGTGCATTTGTATTTTAAATAATCAAACCGTAATCATTAAGACAACCAGCAGTACCACTTTGCTGTCTTTTTTTTTTTTTTTTTTGAAAACTTACATTGTAGGTCTCCAGCTTCACTCGGTTCCGGAAGACAAAGGTATTGAAGTTTGCATGCTGAAAGACCTCATCAAATGCAGCTTCATTCTGTAAACCAAAAGCAAGGCAATATTATAAGAGGGTTACAAATGAGACATTGTGAAATTACATTATGTTTGTCTCTTAATATAGACCACTCCATGAGAGACTGAATGAGCCTCTGAAGAGTAAGACCTTGTTAAAAATCCTTGGGCTTTGAAAGCACATTTCATAAACGCCACAAAAAGGACTCCAATTCATTCACAACGTGCTACTTCTCGGAGCATCTTTGTAATACACGGGCAAATCCTCGAGGCCACACTTTCATGTAGTACACAGATAGAAAAAGCACGGGGGAAAATAAACAAAGGTTGTGAAGCAGACAAAGTAGAAACTCACTGTGTCCTTTAGTTGGCCAAGATAACTAGAATTTTGGCCCAGAAGAGTCTCGGCAGTGTCTTGAAAGCAAGTCACCCACTGGTTGTCTCCAAAATCAGCAATGTTGGCCTGACAGAGAATGAAATGAAAATGTATGAAAAACACTTTTTTTTTTTTTACTTTTTTTATACATTAAAAATAAAACAAATTTGTAAAACTTTTACAGAACAGAACATTCAGTGACAGCAGCGGTTATTAAGAGACAAAAAAAAAATGACAGCAGCGGCAGATGTAAATAAAATAAAAAAATGACAAAAAAAAAAAAAAAAAAAAAAAAAAAAACATACAATATTTTCAGTTTCAAAGGAGCTAGAAATACTATGTCCTATTCAGATACAACGTAACAGGTGCCCATCTTTGTTTAAAAATATCCAGTTTTAGTTGAAGTTGAGCAGTCATATACTCCATTCTATATATACATTCAAGTTTTTCTATCCACTGTAGGCATTGTTGGAGGATGTGGCTTCATCCAATTTATTGTTATGGTCTTTCTTGCACAGTAAAAGTACATGTAGTATATATCTCTGGTTTTTATTATATATATCCTGGTGTATCCCTTTAAGCAAGAAAAACAGGGGAGTAAAAGGTAGATCTATCTGCATAATTTTCATTATCTCAATCTTTCCCTCTTGTCAAAATGCAAGTATCTTCGGACATTCCCAAAATAATTGTGTGTGATTACCCACATTCCCGCAACCCCTCCGGCATTCCTCTGACTGTGGTTGGTTGGTCAATTTTTTCCTCAAAAGTTCAGATTTCCATTTTGCTTTAATTTGAAGGGTGTAATCTGTTGAATCCAGAATTAGGCTATTATATCTCTATGATATGTGTCTTTTATGTAATCCTTTTAGTTTTTTTATATCAATAAAATACTGTGCCACATTAGTTGGGACTTTTTGAATATTTCTTTTTCTTTATAATTTGTAATATAGCTTCTTAATTGTAAGTATCGAAAAAAAAAAAGAAGAAAAAAAAAATCGCTTGACGACAACATAAATTTGTCTTTAAGATAAGAAAATGAGTACACAGTGTCATTACACTTTATGTTCAAGTCACGTCTAACATAATTGTTCTTTGGTTGAATTTTTAGGTTTTTCTCCATGATTTTAAAGCAGCATCCTCCCAAATGTCCAAAAATATCTGACCATGACTTGTATAACCTGCTATACCATCGTTTTGATACCTTGATCTTGTATGTTGGAAACCATAAAACATATGGTTTCCAATTTACTCAAATCAGATTCAGGCCTTGTTCATGTGGAAATATATATCTAATATGAATAGGATCTGTGCCCTCGTATCTGCAGTGTAAGCAGGTAGATCAGATGTTCACCTGCGAATGTGAGTCGCATGTCATTAAACTATAGCGAATGAAATGCAAAAATCACGCTATGGATATGACAATAAAATCCCTACTGGTTTGAACAGCAAAACAACTTGTCAAAAAGGAAAAAAAATTAAACTCTGCAAACAGATTAAATACAATAATGGAGAAAAATAGCACTCTTTTGTTATCAGCTTTCAGTCAGTGCATGTTCGTTTTTTCTGCTCATTGCACCTTTGGCTTGTGCCCCATGTAAATGCAGACAATCGCATAGGGGTCACTTTCAAAAGATGTAAGGTGCAGGTCATCCAAAAAAAAAAAAAAAAAAAAAAAAAAAAAAAAAAAAAAAAAAAAAAAAAAAAAACACATCGGAGTGTCACAAAATCGGAATCAACCATCACCTAGGGCCATAAATACTTGCAACATAAAATAAAGTTTTGCAAGCGAAAAATAAAGTATTGAGCAAAAAAAACGAATAAAAAAGAAAAAAAAAGGGAAAAATAATGCAAATTTAAAAAAAAATTTAATTAATTAATTAAATTGAGAAATAAAAAGGAATTTTCCAAACAAAAATAAAGAGCTGCAAATAAAAATCAGGGGCAAAAAAAATGTAATATTTAAATTTTCTTAAAATATATACATATTGATTATATACATAGTTGATTCAAAGCACAGAAAGACATAAAAAACACAATACTCCAGCCTGGGGTGAAGTTACTGAAGTGAACAATAATTTGAGACAAATAAAATGCAGCTTAATAGAAAACTATGTGCATGGTAATCTCCACAGCCTCCTCAGTCTTGGCTGGGTGCCATAGAAAGAGTAGCAGTGCTGGTAAGCATCCACTAACAGAACACAATGTTAAGGATGTGATGCATCGTGGTACTTCTTGTTCTGTGTGTGACCACAGCAATGTACTGTGTGGAATAAAAAAAAAATATGTATCATGTCTGGAGGCTGAAGCTAAATTAAATCAAAACTTAGTAAAAACATAAATCTATTATTTTAAAAACATTTTGTCCGCAGACAAGCAACAAGGATGTATTGGCTTTATTTGCCCATTCCTGGAATTTGAGATGCAGCTTTAAATACAAAAAGAAGCAATTAATGAAACACAGCCTTGGCTGATTTACAGCAAAGCCGAAACGAAGAGGCCTTAAACGAACAATGTATTTAGAGCATAAATAAATAAAATAAGCAAAATTAAACTCATTTTAGGAATGATTATTTTCTGAAAGCAAAAAAGGATGGCAGAGATATTTATTTTAGGATAACCAGAGAACATGCGACTTCAGAAGCTTGATGTGTTATTTTAGAAAGGGCAGAAAAATCCAACAGCAAGCCCCTTACCGAGAGCATGAGACGATATTTGAAGTCAGGGAACTCTTTGTCGCATTTCTCACAGCGGAACATGCCATTCTGCTGGTCCACCACCTTCTTATTGCAGTCTTTACTGGGACAGGCCTGATACAAGCAGTTCTCTTTGCGGATGTAGACTATGGTTGCGATGCAAGAGAAATAATCAGCCTGGAAAGAGAAGAGAGTTTGAGTCACAAAAAATACTTGATTTCAAAGCTTAAAAGGACACACTATATCCACAATACACACTGTAACTGATCATAGTAAAAACACAGTAACAGAATGCAGTACAATACATCCTAAAAACCACTTCTATCTTTTAAGTTCTTATGAGGTAACTGCAGAACCTACATAGCATGATGTATAGAGTTTAAAAAAAGAAAAATTAAATGCAGCCTGCTTGCAAAATGGGCCAAGCAGAGAGGCAAACAAATGTGCCTATATTCATTTAAGTGAGATATGCAAAGCAGAGAATATGCATACACATAATAAGGGCTTTTGAACGGGGCTGGAGGCAGAAGAGAAAGAGAAGCCCTAGAGCACCTGGAGGGGAGGTCAAAGGCTCTGCGCTAAATGTATGCAGAAGAGACAATGGGAGGACAGGAAGTTCACGGCAAATGTGGTTGGAGATGAAAAGGGAGACACAGTGGTAGCAGGATTTTATTTTGAGCGGCTGGCACTTTCACTGCATACAGTACACACTGGTGTCCTAGTGACTATTCTGAAAGCCTTTAGGAGGCATGAACGCTAGGGCTGTACAATTCTAAAATGAGAATTCCAATTTGTTTTGCTTAAAATCAAGATCACAATTTTCTCAGGATTCTGTAGATGTCAAATAAGTGTTAATATGAGGAGGCGATCATTATTATAAAATATTATTGTTATTTCTCAAACATGGTAAAACAACAATAATAATTAATGTGTCAGTCTACTGTTGATTAAAACGCTTAATTTTAAATAGACTTGAAATAGTAGACTTGAATAGGCTTTAAATATGTAATGGTCCACAGTTAAGTGATGACAACAGAATTCAACTATTAATAATCCTAAAGTTGATTTATTGTGTTTGAGACGTATGCTTGCAATCTGGCATAGACAACAATATTAGACCTTTTTTTTTTTACACTGGTAAAATCAGACATTTGTCATTATCAGATTCCCTCTTGCATTATATTCAACATTATTTAGGCTAGAGTAGTTATACTGACCTAGTAACCTTTAATTGTCATGCACTACACTCTAAAATGCGATATGATCATCTGAATGATGTGCACGCTTTTGGTATCACTTTCACTGCCGAGTGCTGGTCATGTCATGGCTGCCAAACGATTGTCTGTGCAACAAACTGAACGTTATTTACAACTTTATTACCTGTTATTCACAGCCTATGTGGGTTCTGTTCACTAATGTCGACATCATTGGCATGCACGCATTCTCTCAGTAGTAAACAAACAGTGCATCAGCTCGTGTGTCACAAATACGGCATTACACTATTATGTAAACGGACAGATCAGATTTATTGAGGCACTCCATTTTGAACGTCATTAAACTTGCGATAATGTGGTACTTCTAAGCGGTTTAATGACGTAGAAGGAAGAGAATGTGTGCTTATCCTAAAATTTCAGACCCACTGCTCCAGCCCGCCACAATTCGCACCCACCAGACCTAAGATTTCTCTCGTACCCACAAATTCCTCTGAATGGTTGAGGACACTATATATAAACCATAGGTGCAAGCTGCGATAATGGCCCTTTCCCTGATCCTCCACCTCAAAGTCATTTTAAAGTTGGGCAAATTTCGCATATTTTGCAGAGCTAAAGGCAAGACAATTTCTTCCATTGTGGCTAGTGTGACGCAAATGCTAGAACCCACCTAAACTGCATGCACAATGTCGTATTGTATGGCAAGTGTAAACACACGAGTCAGATATGGGCTCAATCAAAAGAATATGTAAACAGACAAAAAAAATCAGATATAGGCAACAAATCGGAATTGGGCATCAAGACCTGTGAGTGTTAACACATTCTTTTTTATTGTGAACCATATCTGAATCATGTGTTAATGTATATAAAACAATGTGAAGACTTGTACAACCACCTTAAAGCATCTCTCCTGACCTTATAAATATATTTGGCTGAATCGTAGAAAAGCAGAATTAAAATCGTGTGTAGGGTCACATTGAGATTGCAAACTTTTTTCGATTAATCATGCAGTCCTATTGAACACCATGCTTTATTTGTGGGAATTAAATGCCTTAAATAAACTATGACCTAACATAAAAATATAAAGCACATCAGGCTTTTCCCATCTGAATACTAGTAGCATGCATAAACTCAATCACTGAATACCAACCAAAGCTATTCACATAAAAAGAACAAAACTAATTTCTTGTGTAAATGTGAAATATGCTTATTGAATCATTCACTTAACTCATCCAAAAAGTAATCACAAAATCAAAGAATTGCATGAAACGATTTCTTCGAAATAAATTCAACAGGCAAGCATTCAAGAGTTCACACTTAGCTAATGTTTGAATAAGTAAAAGTGTATTTGGCATGCTGTTCTGGGAGAGAGCTCTGAGTATCAATGAGCCAGGGGCTCCCTCAAATTAGGAAGGGGGGAAAGAGGGGAGTCTAAGCTCAGGTAGGTCTCAAGAACTCCCCTGCTATTGGATTTATGAAGGAGTGGAAAATGTCAGGGAGTAAGGGGGGTTTTGTTAAAAAAAAAAAAAAAAAAAAAAAAAAAAAAGGATGACAAATATAAGGATGGTGGCCTATTTTATATGCATTTGGATACGTCTGATTGATTGGTTAGTGATTGATGAAGCGAGACCAGCCGTGGTCAAACAAAGCATGTGATCCTCTCAAAATTGGTTTTATAAAACTTAACATTGTGATGGTAACAGTCAGCAAATATCAAATACCACCAACTTCAAAACTTGTCAGACAAAATTTTAAAGTAATTGGACTATAATTTACATTGCTTATGGATAGAAAAAGGTTGGTTTTCGAATTGATTGGGTTTCCAATTGAAAAATCTATCAATCTGGAGCAGTTTTTTATGATAAAAAGAGATATTGCATGTTTGAGGTTGAGAGGATTAAGGAGGTGAAGAGTCTTGAAGAGTCAGCTAAGGGCAATTGACCGTTTTAGAAATCACATATTAAGGGAAAAAATGGAGGACAGACACAGGAGACTGAGGATTACAGGGTGAAAAAGAGGTCAGTGGCTGAACATGACTCTCCTTTTCACAAGGCTCATGAGAAACACATTAAATCAAATCTTGCTAAGACAAACACACACAGCACCATGTTTACCCTGGTGACAATGGTCCTGATGAGAGCACACGGAAGAGATTCTTCTGAAATGGCCGTAAGAAACTCATGCTCCTCAGAAAATCAGGTCCCGATTCACATTTGTGCTGTAAAATTGACTCTTTAATGAAATGCAAAAAAAGGGCACTTTGTCTTTCTGAGGACTGAGATTTTAGCTTGCAGTGGATTTGTCATCTCTCATTGGACTATAATCTATAGAGAGCCTCTGGCAAAGTCTTAACCCCATATTTTCTAAGGAAATTGGATACGAAAACAACAACAAATGGCAAAAACATGTTACTACTGTAATTGATTTCTCTTCTAACTGGTTTACTGCTGACCACCCAGTTGTTTCGCTTTGAGAATTCGACCCCAATTAACTTCTTGAAGGGCTGGAATTGATATTCCATGTCACTTCAAATAAATAAAAAGCCTCCCGGGAAATGTGAACGACAAAGGCAGAGAGCGGACAGGCTTGCTATTCAATATGCGAAATATCCCTGTAAATTACTGTCATTTCACTTAGTGACAATATAAAATCCCTCTGAACATGTCTGCCTCACTGAAATACAATAATTAATCCAGTAAATACCTATGTAATTATTGTCACATTCGTTCAGTAGTTGAATGGGTTCTAACAAAGAGTGCAGAAAGCAACATTTGTCAAAGCTGCCTTACAATATGGCTGCCAAATTGATTTCCTCTAAACAAATGCCATGTAGCACTTTAGGAAGTCCAAGTTTTTTGGTTTTAATAGCTTTAATGGAAAAATTCTGATATTTAAGCATCATTAAATAAAATTATCATCACAAATCCCTGTTCTCAACATATCCAAAAATACATTCAACGTTCCATTAAATCGTTCTCAATTGTTATTTTCTTTAAATAAATATGTTTTTAAAAATAAAATCTACCTTCACTAAAGAAATGTCAATATCCTTTTTAAGACTTGGAAATATATAAAAAATGTGTCTTAAAATAGCTTTAACAAGGACTTTAGTTATGGCAACATGGGAAAGAGAACTAGGACACAAACTTTTTGCAAGTACAGTTAATTACAGACAACTGGCAGGGGGCTTTTAGCAGCCTGACCTTCAGTCCCAACAGAGCAGAAAGTATGAGATCAGGTTTAAATCAGTATTCATCTTTTCACAGAGAAAATGTTCAAGTTTGGTTAACATTTTTATGTTAAAAGTTCTTCAGTAATTAACAAAAAAGGTGATTGTTTTTGTTTATATTTGATTTATTTTCTGAGGTACCTAAATTGGCATACATTACATTAAATTTCAACTAGTTTGTTATCATCTACTAAAATGATAGTATCATGACAACTATTCAGAAAAACAAAAATAGGCTGCAGACAAGGTCAGATTTATTATGCAGCTTATCTGTAGTATAATCTCTTAATTATTAGGCTCAGTAAATGTAGTCATGCTAATCTCCATTCCCCATCTCCAGTGCTGAATGTGAGTAATGCTTTAAGCACACACCTTGGGAAGATTGGAAGGGCATTACAATGTGTGATTAATGAGCAGAGAGAAAAGTAACCGTGTAGCTAAGTGTAAGCATCCCTGTTTTTTTTTTTTTTTTTTTTTTGTTACAGAACATGTAACACAGGACCAACTGATTACAATTAATCAGATGAACAGAAAATGAGAACATAAGGTGATGCCCTGCAAAGCACTTCTAATGTACGTTCTAAAGGAATTTCTAAAAGGGGTTATACTTATTACTTTTTTTCTTATGACTTTTTTTCTGTGAACATTTGATACATGCATAAAGGTTTTGATATTCATCAATACAAAATTAATTTTGTCATTCTGTTAAAATATACAAAAAAACTAAAAATAAAAAATCAAATCAAATTAATTTAAATATAACTAAAGCTATAGAAATTTAAAAATAAATAAAAACCCAACTAAATGAAACAGACAATAATCTAAAAATAATTAAAACAGTAGCTAATTATGCTAAATATAGTACATATACAGGTAAAAAAAAAAAAAAAGTTACGTTTTATGATTAATATTGTTTATATTATTTAAATTTCAGCAGTGTATTGATTTTATTTGAATTTTTTATTTTGGAGAACACATGGATTAATGGAATGACACATGATAGGGATGTGAACCTAAACTGGTTTCACAGTTCAGTTACGATTATGTAATCGATTTGGTTGACTGTGCTTTCTATCTACAAATGTATATTTTACTCACAACACAAGAATAAAATTTTGTCTTTTAATACAAGGAATCAGATATATGAACTGTACCTTTAAATTTGACCTGATCAAAGAAATCACTCTTTCGGATCTATCAAACAAAACTCAAGTACATGCAGAGAAAACAACATGAGCTTTCATAGCAAATAAACAAATGTAAAAATTAATACCTTTTGCTTATTAAGCGTTGTCGAGAAAGTTCTTAAACGCATACGAGTTGTCATTGTGTAATCATCAGTGCAAATGTCTCGACTATAAACTGTTATCCCAGTACTTCTGTTAATTAATTGTTTGTAATTAACTGAAAAAGTATAAAAAAAAAACTAATCTTTTTCGATCAATTGCAGCGCTTCGAAGGATTAATAAACATTAGCAAATCATTATCATTTATCATTCTTGTTCAGTGGGTTTGAATTGAGATCAGTTACACACCTACAATTCACAAGCAGTGAATTGTGCACAGTTGTCTGCTTTTTAAGTAGTTGGAGCACTTTAATTGACCTCCCTTGACATAGTTACAGCGACATAGCACGTATAAACAATGTCAGTACATAATAACCAATTATGATCCATTAGTGAACAGATACCAAATCGTCTGCATCACGGTGCATCAAAAACAATTTGTTAACCCTAATAGACATTTGAAACAAGTGAGCAATAGCCATAAAGAGAGGAATAAATGAATACATAGACAGACAATATGATATATAGATAAACAAAAATGATATAAATGGAATAAATAACAGAAAATGAGCAACAGACAGAAAAAACAGGCAAAGTACCAAACAATAAGACAAAAAGCAATATACAGACAGATAAACAATTGCGAAAAATTAGACAGACATCATAATGCAGTTTGTTCAAAGGTAAAAAAATAAAAATAAAAATCTACATACTTTGTCTCCATGGCCAAGATGCTCATTTTTGACTTCCGCCAGGGTCTTCCAGTTTGTGTTTCCACCACCACCTGGTCCTCTCAGCTCTGTCATGGACTGTCCATCCAATGCATGTCCTTCCTTATCATACCTGTAAACACACAAAACAAAAATAATGAGTAATGCTGTCGATCATCAAAAAAACAAAAAAACAGTTTATTCATACATACAGGCAATAGCTCATCTGTTCAGGCAGATAATAGCTAATATCTTAACTACATCTACAGGAGCCATAAAAATAGTCAGAAAAAAAACAGCAGTGTTGGCCATAGAGGCACTGGGGGCTACTTGTGAAACGAATCAACAGTATAGGAACGGTTCAGGGAGATGGGGTCAGGGCAGCAATGGTGAAATCAGAAACCCATTTTCACTAACGCTCAAGAGTGGCTCAGAAGACAGAGGTTGGGGAGAGAGAAAAAAAAAAAACTTTACAAAAAAAACATACTTAGGATGAAGCAGTGTATCTGAGGAATCAATACAGCATTATAGACTAGAGACCGTAGGGTTGAGTATCGGAGGGGTAGACTGGTAAATACAAGAGTTCAGGGCTTGCTCTGGAAGGCATGACTAATTGAAAATATCCACCTTAATAGACAAGCGCCTGGCTGCTTTGGCGGTCCTATTTTTCCATTTGAAAAATGGGTTTAATTCTAAAGCATGATCTTTCACCTATGCTCTTAGCTCTTTTGTAATATCACCATCCTTGCGTACTTCGTTACTATAGTGATGCACTGCAAAAAGAATCAGCCTACTTTAGACCAATTTCTTTTTACTCTCCCAACCATTTCCATCACACTTCAATGAAAATATACTGAGAAAAAGCATGCTTGTTGTCAAACATATTCATACAACAGTGACGGTAAATGATACTATGCTTAGAAAAAAAAAGAAACTAATTGCGAATCTTGTGAATGAGTCATAGTCATGAAAATAAACAATACTGCAGAACAAAACAAACTATTCACATGGCCAAAACCTGATGGTGTACGGTAATTGGCTGACCGAGTCCAATGTATGGATGACTGGTGGTGCCATCGTGGAAGGCAGAATGAACACCAGAGGAGCAAATTGGAAATGGCATGTGCTTTAGAGCAGTGGAGTGACAGGCTGGCGCTCACTGCAGCGTGTCTGAACTGAGCAGAGCAGACAACAAGAGGAAAGCAGTGAGATTGAGCACTGAACGGACTGTCACATGTCAGAGGACATGAAACGCTTGTGACAGGAATAGCAAGAGAGGGAAGCAAATTAAGAATATGCACGCATCTACAGGGGATGCCATTAGTAACTCTTGCTTGAGTTGAGTGCTTTGTTTCTCAACAGCTTAAAAAATGTGCTTATTTAAAAATAATGCAGAAAAAAATGTATGGAAGAAACAGAAATAGTTCAGCTCAAAAGTGCCATGTGTCTCTTTCCAAAATCATTCCCTTTTCACTGATGTAGTAAACAGTACAGGCAGCCTTTTGATTGGAACCTTTTGCAAACAAAGTAGTGTGAAGAATGTTTAAATATGCACAGCAAATGGTCAATATTTTTAAAGGTCCTATAAAATTAGAAGAATGAGTGTTGTCAGTTTTTAAGATATCTATAAGCTAGTGTGCCCCCAAAACAGTGACAAAATTTGCATTTAGATGATATAAAACTGATTTAAGCATGTCAAGCTTATAGTTTGTCACTTCCGCCTAAATGGATCAACAATTGTACCCATGTCACCTCATACTTCAGTTTCTCATCAAATCTTAACCAATCAATTGCTTTCTAGTACCTGACATGCCCCCTCCCCTTCAAGACGCTTCTTATAAAGATGCACTTGAGCTCAACCACTCTCAAGGCTGATTTATACTTCTGCGTCAAACGGCGGCGTATGCTACGGCGCTGACGCATAGCCCTTCGCCGTGGTCATCGGCGTCGCTGACGTGCACTTCTCAAAAATTGTAACTACACGTAGCAACAGCGCGTAGCGCAAGCTCTGTGATTGGTTGGCTTGGTATCGCTGATGAGTCTGGGCGGGACCGAGAACCGCGTGAATGGCGCGAGCCAAGTGTGTCGTCCCATGAAGGAGCTCCTGATGGAAAGTTTTGTTTTGTGTTTAACTCATAGTTAAAGCTGTTGCACGTCCGCCGGTTCCTGCCTCAAAATGAGCGAGTTTGAGCAACTTGTACATCCCGGAAGTGTTTAGGAAAAGCAAAACAGCAGAGAAGAAATTCGACACAGAGAAACATTAACACCGCACTGCCCACTAGCGTTTCGGAAGTGTTAATGCAGACCAACAGAGACAGCGCGCAGAAGTATAAATGCACAGCTACGGGCGTTGCATGCGCCGTGGGTCACGCCGGTCACTTGACGCAGTAGTATAAACCAGGCTTTACTGGCAAAGCGGTGATAAAGCAAAGTGCTATTGGCATTGTTTTTTTGTTTTGTTTTTTAAAGGGAGAAGCTACACTACGTTCCACCTTCTCTTCATGTTTCGGTTGAGATTACATTAAACATTGAATAAAAATGCTTATTTTAAAGCACTTCATGGGACCTTTAAAGAAAAACAAAAAGCAATGATCAATTGAAGAACAGCTTTTAAGAAAGTAACTGTTAAATTAAGCAGATTCTTTTGTTGGCCAATGTTGGGAATTTTTCTGCCCGGCTTGAACCAAATGCAACATCTCTTTCAAAGTTACAATTACATTGCTGAATGCAGATGCCTGTTGTATCAACAGCTGCTTTTCCACGATCATGCTGAACTATTTTGAGGACAGCCAGGTTTAGCTTCACATAGAAACAAAAGCTGGAAGAGCACAGCACAATTACAAATCATTCTCTGCCCATAATTCTAAGCATCACTAGACAACCATGCCAGCTTCTCCATAGATAGAATACGGAATCTGACTTTTTGTTATTCAACAAAGTAAACACTAGAAAAAAAAAGACAAAAACTAAAAATTTGAGATCATTATCTGCATTATGGTTTCATTACAATTGCGTGATCAAGGCAAAGACTGACACATCTGCATTATATTCTAAAGAGCTCCGTTATCAGCACCAGTGGAAAATGAAAACGTTTCTGTGCTGCACGAACCAGATAAGCAAACAGCCTGATAGTGGATAAGCTAACCATGTGTCAGTAAACACAGCATTTCTTTTAAAGAGTCAGGTCATGTGATGCACGAAAAACAAATTGATAAAAAAAAGGACATTTTTTGAAGCACAAGCTTATATCAGAAGTTGCAATTTGTTCCACACACAAAGCTCCTCTATGGCTTGAAAATACTTGGAATATTACCATACCAGTCATATGGACTGCTTATAAAGCTTGGCAAGATAAAT